ATAGATAATGGATGGATGTTCAAATTGTAAAAACCTAGATGGTGTGATCGTAGGAGTTTCAGTAAAAAGTGACTGGACTTCTTCTCTAGGGTCTTGAAAACATTTCATTTCTCATCTACGAGGCCTCTTGGAGAACTGAGTTTTGAATAGGAGGTAAAACACCTCCATAAACCTAAAAGAGAAGTCAAGCTGCTTTTTATTGAAGCTTCTTAGGATACCATTGAGAATCTCCTCAGACATATTAATACATTATATTGTGTTATTTTGGAAACATAAATGTCCATATGAATCATATGCCTTATAGAGTTGTAGTGTAAGTTACTTGTCTAACTGTAGTGTTATTTATCAAAACTCATTCGTGTGTGTCCTTGTGTACATGCATGATACAAACAAAACTGGGGTCCATTCTGTAGTGCTTCTTGTGGAATCTTTAAAAGTAATGATAACTTAAAAGATACGTTCGCCGTCAGGTCATTTTAAAACAAAAGTGAGGTGCTGAACTTTGAAACAGACTTTTCTGACTGTAGTATCCACTCAGTTTGTCCAACTTTGACTTATATTTTCAATTGTTTATTTGCAGTTATATTAAGTTCCTACAAATATCTACTAACCCTAACCCTCTAAAAATTAATCTGAAGTGATATTAACTTCAGATAAACCTTTGAAAATATTTTTGCCCAAAAGAAGAAGTGTGTATTTTGTCCCCCCGTCACTTGCACAAACAACGTACATGAGGGGATCTTGAGACTATGACAAGGCAGCACGATGGGGAAGTGGTGAGTACTGTCTCCTCTCATGAGGCTCCGGGTTCCAACCTGCTCGCTGGCTGGAGCCTTACTGTCTGAAGCCTGCATGTTCTCCGAGTGCCTGTGTGGTTTTACCCCCACAGTCCCAAGCTGTGATTCTAAGCAAAAAATTTAAACTGGCCATAGGCATGAGTATGTGCATACATACAAAAAAAAAAATTAAAAACCTGCTCATATGGGTACTTGACTATTGTTTTACTAAAGGTGTTTTGTGTCAGTAGCTGAATAAGTACACCTGAACAGCATGAATCTACAGCTGCGCAATCAGTATGTTGTTTTAAAAAAGCGGCGATAAGCACTGCTTGGTTTATGGGCTGTTGTTCAGTTATGTTATCTTTGTAGATACGTCTATCAGAGGGACAGGAAGTAAGACTTTTAACTGGAAATTCAGCCCACAGCCACACCATAATGTGGAACAGGTAAGTTTCTAACTTCCCACTGCTACTGTTTTTCACATATGGTTCAGCTCTTGTCGGATTATTTAATATTCTGTTGCAAACAATAACGCTGTCTGGTGTTTCATGTGAAGACGTCTGGGTGGTTTACTTCTCAGTCTTTTGGATGATGTGGTTTCTCTCTCCAGTTCTTCAAGGACTTTGAGCCATCAGGACCTTCAGCAAGTGAAGTGTTTGCTCCCTCTCTCACCTTGTGCAGAGAAGAAACAGCTTCTGAGCCCTGGGGAAGTAGTTTCAACAGGTCAAACAGCCAAGAGTCAGGGATGTTTGATTTCTTTGACAACAGCTTTGTGAACCACACCAGCACAGATAGAGAGAGGAGCTGTGGGCCACAATACCAGGACAACAACATCCAGCCCTTCTTTTCTCACCGAGCACAGCTGCCAGATAGACATTCAGCAGAGCCAACACACTTTCCCCAGGAGCAGGACCCCCGTGGAACGAACAGATACTCTTTTTCTCCACTTTTCCCCCCCAAAATTCCCCATTTTTATCAGAGCAATTACCTCCTCCCTTTCAGTCAATTCCGTCAGCCCTTAGCTTGCCCTCTTCCCAGATCCCACCACACTGACATGACGCATTACCCCCCATCTCAAATGCTTGAAAGAAGTACAGCACCTCCTCTTTCTTCTCTACCGAGCCCTGAGCACTGGTCCTTCCCTGCTATGAGACTGTACTGATGTGCGGTGAAGCTTTTCATAGAGACATGCCCGTGAACATTTTTAAGACTAACTAAAGAACAGTTCTCTCTTTATTTCATACCATCAAGACTTTTTGTTGACAGTCAGCGAAAATGTGTTTTTGTATTTTATTAAAAAAGTAGCAGGTAGTGTAATCTTCTTTTGCCCCGTTTGTGCTGACAAAAAGAAACACACAGTTATGCCTAACTTGCATATTTGAAGCATTTTTTATTATACAGAAGTGTACATTGATAGCACAGATGCTGTAATTAAATGTTCTCTGCAGAGCAAGAATTTTAGCTGAAAATGTGCTATTGTTAAAGCTGTTAGAGATTTATTTTTGTTTTGTTTTTGTGCGTGTGGGCAGTATTTACATGCAAGAAAATTCATTTTGCTAAATATATAACTTCACAGATCACAAGATCTTAAACTACATTGTGGAGTCATGTCTTTATAAAAGATGCCATTGTTGGCCCTGTGATGCATTGCACTGTGCATTCATAACATATTTTCAAGGTCTTGTCTCCCCCAGCAAAAAACTGAATTACCAACATACTGACAGGATGATTTTGATCAACACCCCAAATAAAAGTCTCCTTGTCTTGTTAAGGTTGCAAATAGTATTTATCTGTTGTGTGTTTCTCTACATGTTCACTTTTTTCCTTTTCAGGAGCAACACAACCATTTTCTTCTGTTACCAGCGTGCTCCCTGTTCTAATTGCCCTCCGTAGCTGATTCCAAAACAGGTCTTGGGCCTGGATCGGGTCCGTACAGTCAGACCCGGGCCACTGCAGGTAAGTCTTTTTTAGCATGATTTTCCTCATGCGGTGATAGGATGACAGCTGCCTCTCGGACAGTGGCTCCAGAAAGACGAGCAGTAGAACGTCCCGATGCTCATCGAAGAGTCTGTAGCTGGCGAGTTGGATTTCCAGAGAGCACCACTCACTTTGTAGGAACTTCCTGCTCACCACACAAATAGTTTTACGGCTGCTATACACAGCAGTGACGATGTTGTCCACAATGTCGCGGCCCAACTCAAAGTCCCGGTGATGTAGGCACAGTTTAAAATTCGACCCATTTCCCTCCAGGTTGGGCATCAGCTGCTCCATGACCCATTGTTCATCGAAAGAATTATAGGAAATAAATGCATCATATTTGCATTTTTCCTCCTTCTCTCTCAGCCTGCTCCACTGCTCGCTAAACCAGGAACGGAACACATAGTAGCTGTACTTCATCTTCCAGTAGAGCTTAACATAAAGCAAAGGAGTGACTGTAAACAGGAAAATCACAACCGCTGTGCTAAAGAACAGGTACTGCCCTAAATCCAAGTAACAAACATTTGTATCAAAGTTGTAGAATTTGAATTTCGAATCGGACTGGCACGTCATATTGTACAGATAAACGACCTGAACATTTGGGTTATGCAGCGTGTAGTTTTGCAACAAGGTGTTCTCGCAGGTGCAGCTTAAAGGAATATCACGTATGTCAAGGTAGCGGAGTTTAGGTAGACTCTCGAGCGCGTCTGCAGGAATGCTCTGCATCACGTTGCGGTTGAGCTGCAGCGTATGCAGCTGTGTAAGATTTCCAAAAACTTTTTTTGAGAAGTTCTGAATGCCCATATTTTCTACAATCAATTTGGTCAAGTTCTGTAGATTTTTGAAAACACCTGGTTTTAGCTGTGTGACCCCAACGCAGCAGTTATCCAGTGTGAGGAAACGTAAGCTTGTCAGGTCATCAAATACGTCAGGAGCGAGATAACCGATGTTGTTATTGGTGAGATACAAAGATTGCAGTGAGTGGAGGCCGCGGAAGAACGTTCGTGGTAAAACTATGAGGCCGTGAGGTCTCTGCCCATCCAGTTTGAGGTCCCTGAGTTTAGTGAGATTCAGAAATGGTGAACTGATCTTTTCTTTGTGGAAGTGAATCTGATTACTTTGTAAATCCAGAGTTGTGAGCGTATCTTGAAAGCAACGATAAAGAGAACTGTCAATCTGTTTGAGGTTGTTTCCATCTAGATAGAGCTTGGACAGACTTTTTAACCCATCAAGGCCAGATGGCTGAAAATGAGTAATCTTATTGCCTCCAAAGTCCAATGTAGTCAAATTTCCGAGACTGCGGAAGGTCCCGTTAAAAATAACAGAGATGCGATTTTTGCGCAGGTTAAGGACTTGCAGGTTGAAATTATCCTCAAATGTGTCGTTGAACAAATCGGTTAGGAGGTTATTGTCCAAACGGAGCGTCACGAGCTGTTTTAGGCCTTTGAGAGCTTTACGGTGGAGAAAAGCAATATTGTTTATGTTGAGTTTTAGCGTCTTTATATTCGGTGTGTGATAGAAAGCGTCACGTGAAACCGTGAGGATGCGATTGTAACGGTAGCTCAGCTCTTCCAGATTTTTCAAATAAACTGCATTCTTTTGTTTACAGGAGGGGATTGAGGTGAGATGATTATGTTCTGCATCTAACCTATTTACCTGATTTTGTCCACTGAGAAAGTTGAGACAAATTGAATGCTGCAGATTGTTGCGTGACAGCTCCAGAGTCCCTGTGATTTTTGGACAGTGGCGCAGCGTTTTGTTTGTTAGCATTTCAATTCCATTGTTGCTCAACCTCAAATTTTTGATAACTTTCAGCTTTCTCTTCAACAACCTGCACAGTTCAATGAGCATGTTGTTCTTAATACCCATGCCAGAGAAATCAATGTGACCTGCATTCACATTGCTGATGTTCAAAAACTCTGCTACCTTGACACTTGTTGAACGCAAACGCAGATAATTCACATGTCTCAAGTCCACTCCTGCAAAAGCCATCGCAGGAAGCTTAGAGTTGTACGACAAATCCAGCAGGTTGATATACCTGAGAAATGAATGTTTACATCCTAATGTATACAGATCATTTCTACACAAATACAGCACAGTCAGAGATTTGGGCAGCGACTCATTTGAGTGACTGAGAGAAGTCAAATGGTTAAAGCAAAGGTCGAGTATCCTCAGATTTGTTAGATGTGACACAGACTTTGCGATCCCTGTGAAATTTGTCATGACGTTTTGCCTCATGATTAAAGTGTCCAGATTGAGAAGAGTAGAGAAAATGCCCTCAGGGAGCTGCTTTAATTTATTTTTTGTCAGTGAGAGGAAGGTGAGGTTGTGCAGGTCCTCAAACACGAAACAGTTGAGTTCTGATATGTTGTTAAAGGACAAATTTAGAAACTTAAGCTGATGCAAGTTTTGGAAAGCGAACCGATCGATGCGGCTCAAGAAGTTATGATCCATTTTGAGGTTCTGAAGGTTTGGCAGATGAGCAAAGCTGTCCTTGGGAATGTGCCGCAAATAAGTATTTGAGATTGTGACATTGACAGCAGACAGCGGCAGGTCACGCGTGTACGCAAACATGTCCGTCTCCTTTCGATGGATGCAATGGAAGCTTTGTCGGTTTGAGTACAGATCCTCAATGCAGTTGTGAAAGCTGTAGCCGCACATGAGCCGAACGACGCCAAGAACAACTGTGGCTGACAGTAGGTGATGAGGTCGAGTCGCCATTTTGTCGTATCGCAGTCCAGAGAAACAGCCCTTTAAATAACTTTGATTTGTGTCTTTGCTGATTGGAGTTGTTTGAATGTTAGCAAACTGTCTGGGAAGCTGAAAGCAGAACAAGAATCTGAGAAAAGAAAAAAAAAATCAAATCAGTCTTAGAGCAAAGGAATTAAAAGCTTCATTTCCAAGCAGAACTAACCAAATCCATCCATTATCAATACACCGCTTAATCCTCAATACAATCTTTTTTTTTTTTATCCCCACTCACACTTTGCCTGTCAGCTCTTTGGTATTCAGAGGATGATATTTCAATTATAAAGCTCTCCAAAATTCCGAGATGTAAGACTGTTGCCACTTTACAGATATCCTCTCCTCAAACTGACACTAAATCGTCCTCTGTGCAGCGATTCAATCATTTACATGCTTCTAGACTTTCTGTAGTACATATTCTGATCCAGCAGGGGTAATGCAAAGCCTAATTTCTTCTCTTAAGTCTGCAGTTCCTTTGATATTCTCCTGACAGCTCGGGTGACTTCTTAACCAACAAATTGATTAAATGATATTTAAAGTTAGAGTTATTTCTAAAAAGCACATGTACAACTTACTATAAAACAAACCTGACAAATATAGATCCCCAAATAAAGACAATACTATTTTAACAATGATTTGAATTACTTTTTAATGACTAACTCAAACAGTTTATGTTGATATAAATCAAGTGTCTTACCAGAAACTGCAGTTTCACCACTTTCCTGTAATAGCCTCAAAGCATCCGTCAATCCTGAGGTGTTATCGTGTTTGCCAAGAAATTTGAACCTTGTACATCAGAGATAACTTGGTTCCTGTTTTTAATGATGTTTTCATTTCCGTTTTCAATCTGCGTTTGTGTTCCTCCTCCTTGCACGAGCTACTTCGTTAGAATTCACATGATAACGTTAAAAACACTGTTGAATGCACAGCAAATAATTTGGAGTTTACAGCCAGTCATTGGCTTTATGTGGTTTAAAAAAATAAATAGATAAATAAAAACAAAAACAGTAACAGGAGCCATAGGTGTAATGGTAGCTTTAACATATACAGGGTGATTCAGAAATAGTCCATATTTGTTTTTCTGTGCCATTGTGTCCTGCGTTTAAGATGCATCCTCTTTAAACAAGGCATTATAGTGTAAAAGCTGGCTCTTCTTCGTGAAACATGTTTTGAGAATAACAATAAGTTCAATATTCTATCTCGTAGTTTTCATGCTCTCGTCAGATCAGTTGCTGAATATGTTGCCTTATTCAAAGATAACCTTAACAGCAATACAGTCGTCCTCAAATGTATTCATGCAGGCAAACTTCACAATAGTCACTCAAATAACTAGAAACTGAAAAAAGTAATGATAAATAAAAATTTGATAAATTATAATTTAGTGAAATAAGACATTGCTTTTGAATTGTGGTTGAAAAGAATAATTTAAAAAAAAAAAAACTGTCCCAGACAAATTAGAGCTGATGAGCAGTGGGCCAAAATCAAAATAGATAAAAAATATATATTTTCATAAAATTTGTATTTATTATTGCTTTTGTAAATTACAACTTATTTCAGTGACAGCTGTTTTTTTCCTTCTTTAATGGGAGGGTATGAAAAAATATGAGGACGACTGTATTTTGCCAAAACATTGTTGTTCAAATGTTTTTTTATTCACCCTTTATTTCTTCATTATACTCTGACCATCTAAAAAAAAAAACACACTCATTAGAAAAAGGAAAAGTAGTTCAACCCATACTTTTCACTTCATAGGTTTTTTTGCACCTCAGGCATTTTAAAAACTTCAGTCACAACACAATAATTCTAATTGGTTTAATTGAAATAATGTTGCTTGAGTGAATTTACAATATCTTTGAAACATTCCTTTTACAGAAACAAAAAAGACACTATTCCGTTCTAAAATAAATAATGTGTGTGAACTCATCATTACTGGCTTGTGGATTTACTGTACAAAAAAAGTCATGGTTGCTGTAAATCTGAGCAGTTCCTTTTTCCATTTTTTTATTGGTACCTTGCATAAAGACAGTTTCAGCACAGTGTGTCGCTGTTTAACCTGTTATGAAAGATCTGAAATATTTAGCCTGGTTCCAAGTCTGTAACATGCTGCTGGAATTTCAATTGTTTTCAAATATGTATATAATATACAACAATATAGGATGATAAAAAAAAAAACAATATTCACTGGCAGTTAAGTGTGATGATCAGGCTGTTATTCTTACTGTTTAGCCAATTACATACCTAATTACAGTCATGCCAATACATTTAAAAGTTGAATTTCATATACAGAAGTTGTTTCAAGGCAACTGAATGCAAATTTCCACATATCCTTTTGCTTTGTAACCTGAAAATAACACAAAGTCCCTTGTTTTCATCCTCTCATCTTCTGCTCCCGTGCCATTTGACACAGTCCACACAGCGGCAGGCAGGCCATGACCAGCCAGTCGTCACACACTGAGCCCTGGGGAAAAGCACAGACACGGTAAACTGGTGCTAAACAGTGTTATCTTACACACACAAAAAAAAGTGGATGATGTCCTTTTTACAGACCTATTTTCAGGGCAAAATCGGTCTTTGTTTTTGTGGTCGATTTAGGCTTTAGACAACTTTAACACACTTACTCCAATGCGGTATCTGCTGCGGATGCTTGTCCTTAAAGCAATCATGGCACCAGGCAGGAAGGGCACGCAGCAGCTGTCGTCATTATCCTGAGCCACCTTGCAGGCCAGGATACAGGGAACAAACGTTGCACAAAGACCTGCAGTTGACAGATAAATTGTCGCATTAATGTTGCACTGTTGGTAAACTTCAGCTGGCTTCCGCAAACGCGTGTAGAAACGTACAGATGCCGCAGTCTTCGCAGCAGTCGCACACATTTGAACTCCACTCCGATGACCCAGACGACACAGTGTACTGGGTGACGGTGACCTGAGGCTGTGAGTTGATCACGTTCGACTGGTATTCCATGGCTGCAAGAAGTAGAAAAAGGAGTCTGAGGAAGAGTTGAAAAACTAAACGTGTCACAGTGTCATTAAGCATGAACAATCGCAGCTCTCTTCAGATTTAATAGGGTTTTTGAGCTGCATCCTTCTCTGTACACAGTCCAGGGTCATCGAAGCGTCTGAAGATCTTCATCTCAACCAAAAGCAATTCAAATGTTACACCAACAATTTGGTCTTTGCTATCAAAGCACAACTAACCAGATAAAGAGGCTTTAAATTGATAGAATGAGTCAGAGTAATTAACTAAAAACTCAGAGACTCCCACATGGCAATACTGGATACCCTTGGTCTGGAAGAAAAGCTGTTTCACAGTTTACCTCCCGAGGTTGGCGAATGGTTCCTGAAATTGTGATCTGAAATTCAAGACAGTTACCTGCTACATCCACAAACGGGAGTTTCAAGGGTCCGGCCACAGCTCTTATATGCGGTGTGACATCAGTTATGGGCTGGAGCTCAGTTTCTATTGTGACATAATGGCAAACAACGGCAATCTGGGCAGGTGCAAACATCTTGTAAAGGAAAGAGCTCTAATGTTTAGATTCGGGGCGTATCGCACCTTTCAAAAGGGTTCGGCTAGCGTGAAGTAGTCCTTATCAGCAAAGTGTAATTGACGAACAAAGTAAGCGTATAGTGCATATTTGTGTTTCAGCAACTAAACTGTGAGGTTTTACCTTTAGAGCAGGTGTTTTGTGTGTTTGCACAGAGGGGCCCGGCCTTGTGCATCGGAAAGTTTGAGTGAAAAAAATGTGACTTCAAGAACAGACCGGTGGTGACATCAGAAAGGATCTCTGCTCTTGTGCTGCAATACACATTTTTACACTGGGGTGTATGTGCATGGTGTGTCCAAATGAACACATGGTCTAGAAAGCACTAAACACGTGTGTGCTGGGGTTATATAAAGTAACTATCCTGAATAGAACACCTGCTGTTTATTTGTTGATTTAAATTTCCTCATTAACTGTGGATTCAATCATGTTCATTGTCCAGGGTTTATATATAGCCCACAGGACAAAAATACCAACAATATTTTCTCAACAGTCATCTCTCAAAACAATATATAGCACATACACAAAACTAAAAACACAAGTTCTCAACACAAATAATGTGGTATTTACATAATGCAGCATAAAATAAGTCAAATAAGCTGACATTATAAACAAAATTAATTTTATGTAGTTAGTGTTTCTGCCCTACTTAGTACGACAGTCTCAAAAGAGACTGCTTTCCTAATGATGCCGTGAACACTACGCCTAGCATGACGGCTGGTCAATACAGGGCGCCGCCCCACGACTAATGACCAGACAAAAAGTAGGTCTCAAACACAATATTAAAATCGAATTAATTATAACTACATAATAATACAATTAATAATAACGTTTATATTATTTTGCCATATTAACAATATCTGTATTATTAACAGATTCAAAATTAGCCTTCACTGCGTGTTCACTAGTTTTGCACTTCCTGGATGTGGGGCGCGGCCACATGAGTGTGTATGTGGCCGCCCGATCATGTCATGTGACCTCGGCCCGGGCTCTGATTGGCAGCTGCAGACTCTCTCGCGGGGCGCAGCCATAGACTGTATAAAAGATGGACGTAGCAACCGGCCCTGAAAAATGAAGCCAACCCGGAAGTGTCAAAAACCTGCAGTGTCACTACGTCTGCTAGTCCTGGCTCCAAAAAGCCCTGGCTCCCATAGAAATGAATTGGAAAAGAAGTGATCACAGATCACAAAATACTGCATTCCTCCAGCTCAGGATTTTTTTTAGTTTTCATGGTCAAGTCCAGAGATCAGGTGGCCAATCTAAAAATAAATCAAAACTGAATTTTTAAAATATCGTCAACATTTTGCGGGGCAAGGGGCGTGGCTGGCTTGATTGACAGTCGGCAGCGACCATACAGATGAAGCGGGCAGAAGGTGGTAAATGTGGGCGGGCAGAGAAGGCCCGCCTCTCAATCCGTCTGACCAATCGCTGCTCCTATGGCTCCGCCCCCCTCCGACGATTTTTGCGTCACTGGCTCCAAAAATCCAAGATGTCAACCAGGAAGTAGCAAAACCCTGGCTTCATTTTCTCAGTGCAGAAACCAACGGGTGACGTCATGGTAGCTATGTCCATCTTTTATACAGTCTATGGGCGCAGCTCGGTGCGTCCCAGACCCGTCCATTTTTGCTGTAAGCCAATTAATTTTGTCTTTATTTGCGTTTGTCTTCTGTGGTTGGATATCAAAACAGTCCTTTGACGTTCTTACGGCTGTGCTTTCTGACGCCGTCACGCGGCCTTTCCCGTCGCTCTTCTACCAAATGACAGCTACTGTCGTGATGACTAAATGCATTGGCCATGCTGTCGATGGAGACAAGACTGGTCACAGAGATGAGTGACTTAAACCTAAAAGTCATAGAGAAGTTTGCTGAGCAGAAAGAGAGAAGAGCCAAGTTGTTGTTTGTTTTTTTTTTTTTTTCAAATAGCTCCAGACTGCATTTGCGACCTTTATTTTTGAGAGTGTGTGAATTGATGAGCATGATGATCATGAAGCTGTATTAGTGTCGCTGTAGCTGCCACAGGAAGCTGCTGTGTTAACCGCAGTGGTGGAAAATAGGACCTTTATGACTTAGGGTGTACTGCGGTATTTACACCTAAAAATGAGGTCATGGAAAACAGAGCGCACGTAGAAAAGACTGTGTGTAGAACACATATAACTCCGTTTAACCTCGGACAAATTTGAACGCCCTTGTTTATTATTTTTAAACACATTTTTGGTCACACACCTGTCTGGTCACACCACAGCCACCAACAGCCACCAACAACATGTTATGTGGGGCGTTCAGGGAGCATCAGTAATTTGTAGCTTCTATCGATAAGAAAATGTTCAGCAAGTCATGTGTTTTGCCTTTGAACAGGTGGGAGGTGCTACCAGTGAAAAAGTTAGTCTGGAGCCCTGAATAGTGTGTGTGTGTGTGTGTGTGTGTGTGTGTGTGTGTGTGTGTGTGTGTGTGTGTGTGTGTGTGTGTGTGTGTTTTGTATTATAATTTATGTTGTGTGTTTTGAGTTTGTACAGATATCCTGTAAATATTGATGAAAGTTTAATGAATGGTTTTGAAATTTAGTTCTAAACTATGATTAAAATGTCCTCCAAAGGTAGAACATTTGCGTTCTTGTAAATAGTTGTGCCTGATGTTACTCATATTCTGATTTCTGATTTTAAATAAGAGGTCATTTGCATTTACATTCAGCTAGCTGGTCCTTTACACATTTCTAAACATGGCCCTGCAGCTTAACACTGAGCCTCACTTTGCAGGCACATCCTGTACATGCCTCACACTAAATATCCTGTCTGAGATGCTGGCTGAGGCCCTGGGTAGACTTTAACAGCTTGATTATTTCATTCAGTTTATACATTTTGGCATGACTTTTACCAGCTTCTCACGACTCTCATCATAATGATTTTGAACTGATTGCATCTTTTAGAAGTGCATCTTTTTCTATTCTTAAAGACACCTGCTAGAAAACGTGGTCAAATGTGCAATATGCAAGATTTTGAACACAGATACAGCATCCGACATGGAAATATGTAGTTGCAGTACTGGTGAATAAAGAGTGAAGTCATAACCCCTCCCTGTATTGTAATCGCAGCGTCTCTGTTCAACCTTTAAACACAATAGGTTTTCATTTGGTCTTTGTCAGTGATGTTGACAGCAGTTTTTACACAGCACTGCCCATCCAGTCAGTCTGCTTGGATCATGGTTCTTTGAGGTTTAGAATTTATTATGATTCATTAAATATATCCATTGAACGAGTGAGTGCACAGCATTCATGTAAGGCAACACAATCTGGTGTTCAGCCAAAGACGCGCTGTCTGAATGGGAGTTTTGTCATAGTTCAGATGTTGTTAGCTCAAAGTCATCTTTAAAGTTTGGATAAAAGATTGAATACTGAGTCACATTAAGTAACATGGAGGTCTGACGTAAACTGAAACTGGGCTGTTTCAGCACTTCTCCTCCTTTTTTAAGTTAAAGAATGTAGATTATGGCACCTTAAGATGTTTGAAAATTACATGGATTGTTTAACTCTATGTGGTGTTTTTTTTTTCCTTTTGCCAAATGACAAACTTGAAATAAAAAAATCTATATATATTTTTTAAAAACTGCAATTTTCTGTATTGTGTTGTGTTACTGAAACGAAACAACCCAACTAAAGTTTAAGCAGTCTTACTTGGAATGCGTTTTTTCTTGTTTGGTCATACTTTATGGTCATTTCTGTTCTTTGTCTCCTTTTAAGAGAAAGGTTCCTTTTTCAGTACAGGAGCAATAAACTTGTCGTCCAGTTGCATTTGGTAATGAGAAGCCCAGCCAGCGGACAATATCATAACAAAACTAAGATTGCAGCAACACACACGGAACAGACAACATCTGTTTTACCGCCATGACTCAAACAGAGAATTTTTCATACTTACTTACTTTCATATTTATCTCACAATGCAGAAGTCTGAACCAGGGTTTGATTTAAATCTAAATTACAACGTCTCTATTGTGCAGAAAATGTAGACACATGTAAGTTTAAAAATGATGCACTGCAGACGTCTGTGATGATGTTACACAATAGCATCATTTACCAGAAGACCCTCAGTTCAGCCAGACATAACCGCAAGAGTTTTCAGTTCCCCACATATATAACCCATAAGCTGCTTCAGAAAATATTTTGAATACTGAAAGGGGATTTGAGTCTTTTTCTGCATGGCGTCTGTATCTGGGCAAGTGACTCATCACTGCACCCAACCAACAGAGTCTACACGTGCTACCCTGCAGTCAAGCATTTCTAACACTTACTTTCTTAAGTAAAAATGTTCCTGTCAATGTCCGGACAGTGACAGTATCATGTTGCCTGAATAGCGCTTTTTGTGGGGGTCTTTGACTGTACTGTGTTTCCTCCTGTCAGGCATTCACAGAAAGTTGTGAAATCTTTATCACGGTATCAGCACTTACACCGGTTTCAAGAAGGTGTTATATTGATGAACAAATGACTTCATATCCTGTTGTTTTCTGCATAAGTGTCTTTATCTCATACAACATTCAGTATGTCCTGCATCAGCCCCCTTGTTTGCATCCTGTCAGTCTCAGAGGGTAAGTAGTTCTTCTCTCTTCTTGATGTACAATAAAAACCTAATAGATTTTACACTTTATTTTATTGACGCTGCAGCCGTTGTATTTTTTTTTTCTTCAGAAATCACAGAAATCAAAAACAAAAGTGTAATCCTGTTAAACTTTTATATTTTGATATTCTGAGATTTATCAAACTCACAACAATGAAAAAAAAAAAAAAAAACCTCCTAAAACGTCATCCATATGTTCCAACAATATAGGCCACAGGTTGTGCTTAATAGTCTAAAGCATGCTGAACAGAAACAGCGCCGTAGTGGAGCCTGTGAAATTCCTGCCAACCAAGCACTTTCACTTCCCTTCTTAATGCGGAGGATTGTTTTTTAAACCAGTTTCTTAAGGGTTGAAACTGCACATTTTCACGTCAGACTATGTGATCTGTTAGCAGTTATCACAGCTTAATTGGATGTTAAGTGTGCCGTATGCGTGTGCACGATTTTTAAAATTTTCCCAGTGGAGTACACCAGTCATGCACCAGTCTGTCTGGCAGATGTTTATGTCTGCAGACGTGCTTTAAAAATATGTTACAATTTCCCTTGTACAGTCATCAATTCCCACTATGTTTGTATCTGTCTAAATGGTGCAAAGATTCAGTTCCTGAAATTCGTACTTCTTCTTTCTGATCCTTCACTATCTGGACCAACATCTGTGGATAAGGATAGCTAATGTGTTTACGTGCAGTGTGCTCTCTTCTGTCTTTGTGAATTTCAAGTGTTCTGCTGCCTCCTTGTTTACTACAAATATGGATCACGTCCATCCAACCACAGAGGATTCCACAGATTACTGGGTGAGTGGATTTTTTCACTATTTTTTCATTATTATTATTTTTCCATGTGTGAAGGGCTAGCTAAGATTTCACTTTAAGATATTTTCTACGAAATACACATTACATTTCTCCACCATATAGTATTTGTTGTTGCTTCTTGCCAAAACTGCCCGAACTAAAGCTCAAGAAAAATCTTTGTTAAATTAAGATAAATGATAGGAAACCCATCATCTTTTCCTATCCTTGTTCTTCACATATTTGACAGAAGCCTGTTTCTCTCTCTTGTCAACAGGATTATGAAGATGACGAAAATTACACATTTTCCCCTAAAACAGATGGGATTTCTGCAAAACCATGCTTCCAGGAAGACATCTATGGTTTTGCGCACAAGTACTACCCCGTCGTATACAGCCTGGTGTTCGTCTTGGCTGTTATAGGCAATGTGCTGGTGCTGTGTGTGATCAGACGCTACAGAAACTCTCAGAGCGGTGGAGCTTGTGCCTTCTCTCTGACAGACACCTTCCTCCTTCACCTGGCTATTTCTGACCTCCTGCTGGCCTTCACTCTGCCCCTGTTTGCAGTGCAGTGGGCTCACCAGTGGGTGTTCGGCTTGGTCGTTTGCAAGATCTCCGGTGCCCTTTTCTCCCTGAACCGCTACAGCGGCATCCTGTTCCTGGCCTGCATCAGCTTTGACCGATACCTGGCCATCGTCCACGCCGTCAGCTCAGGCTGGAAGCGCAACACCTGCCATGCCCAGTTTGCCTGTGCCATTATCTGGGTGGTCTGCCTGGGCCTGAGTGGAGTAGATGTCGCCTTCAGACAGGTAGAGGGGGTGACCACCGCCGACCACCAGGGGCCGCCCTTGTGCCAAATGTGGTTCACTGGTAACTCAATGCAGTGGCGGGTGAGCCTGCAGTTGATCAGTGTCGTTCTGGGGTTTGGGGTCCCCCTTCTGATCATGCTCTACTGCTACATCCAGATCTTCAGGTCTCTGTGCAATGCCAGTCGTCGGCAAAAGCGCAAGTCTCTCCGCCTCATTATCTCCTTAGTGTCCGTGTTCGTTATCTGCTGGGCACCATACAACTGCTTCCAGCTGGCAGACAGCCTGCAGAGCCTGGGTGTGGTGAGCGGAGGTTGCCAGTACGGTCGTGTGGTGGACATTGGGACTCTGATCACCGAAAGCGTGGGCCTGTCTCACTGCGCCCTGAACCCTCTGCTGTACGGGTTCGTAGGGGTGAAGTTCAGGAGGGAGCTGGTCAGAATGTGTAAGGGGCTGCTGGGTCAGAGAGGCCTGCTTGGGATGGAGGGTTGGAAGCAGAGGAGGCTTAGAAAAACCACAGGCTCTTTCAGTTCTGCAGAAAGTGAAAACACCTCCTACTCTGTCATGGTGTGATATCGGTTGGCGACATGTGAAGAAAAAAATTGAGATAAAGACGCATGTGGTTTGTTGTGTAAGCGAGGTGGGGGGGGAGGTGATGCAGTGAGAGATACAACTGTGGTGAATGGAGCGAGGAGAAACTACACTGCATGTCAATTCAATTTTGACTTTAGAAATATTCTCAGAAGAGTAATGTTTCTGCCTGTTATTCATGTGTTATATTGATGCTTTGCTATCTAGTTGTTGGTATTGTGCAACTTAAAACACATTCTTCTCTTTATTCCTTAAGAACGTTGTAGTAAAATCATTATGTGGAGGTGGAGCACAGAGTGGAGCAGAAGGTCACAGCCCTATCCTGATGGTGTGACAAAACATTTCATGAGAACGCGCTGATTTTTGCGTACATACGCCAAATATTGTCAAATATCTACATTTCGTCATACCCCCCACCCAAACGCTGGTTCAGCAGTTACACACTCATATCTGACATCTGTATACTTGGAGTGTGTGTGGGGTTTTTTTTGTATCTGTTTTATCTCTCAGAAAGATTGCGATAAAAACAAGTTTAAGCTCATAAAACCGTCAAGATGACTGTGTTGATTCAAATCTGTATGTGTGGAAATTCTTTTTATAATCCTTTTTTTATGATGTAAATAAAACTGTGTGCATCAACATCGTCCTCTGTGTCGCGAAAGAGGAAATGAATATGACCAATTTTGAATTTTGTATGCAACATGAAAAGCCAGTCTCTTTTTGAGGTGCAAGTTTTTTTATAATAAATATTTTTAATACAAACAAAGCTTCACGTCTGTTGTGCATCAACCTCCCACGTTACTTCTCTGCAGGTTTACTCTGGTCAAGTTTCTTGCAGCACAGATGTCATGGTTAACAGCAATGAAGTAGTTAAGGAGCTAAAATGAACTGGGTGTACTGGAGGGACAAAGCGCTCTTCGGAGGGATGATGCATCTGGTTCTGAGTCACAGCAACACTAACAGAAGCTCCAGATAACTCAGTCTAACAGTATTTCCTCTGTCTACTTATGCTATGTTTGAAGGGCCACACATGGGGTTCCAGATTATCCTACATTATCATTAATGTAAAGAAACTGAACAGTCAAGGACCACAGCAAGTGGTTGAGTAGTCAGATCCTGTGCTTGAGTAAAGTAAGTGGTACTGCAATGTAAAAAATACTTTATAGGAAGTAATTACAAAAAGCTTTTGTAAGCAAAATGTATCTGTACCACCAAAGGTACATTTTACAGACATTCTTTAACTGCTGTCATTACTATGCACAGAGTTTTGTTGTTGGTGCCTTGATATGTAGAAAACATGTTGCAGTTGAACCAGGCAAAGCTAATTTTTACTATTCATGTTCTATTGTTTAATCTTTTAATGAAGTGATAACATGTTTTGTATATTATACATATTAAATCTGCCAAGTGCCAAGTAAATCTTGCAGTACAATTGTCTGCGACTGAGTCTCTGAGTCTGTGACAAAAAGTAGTGGAGCTGGAATCTAAAATGCTGCATTACATAAAATCTTGCATTGAACATCCTGCATAAGTAGATTAGATTAGATAAGATTGCACTCTTCACCACCAATGGGAGAACTCACTTGTTGCACCAGTACAGATACAGGAAAAGAGCACAGAAGAGCAACAGGAAGAAAAGAGAACAAACAAAATTAGAAATAGGAAGAGCTTAGAAATACAATACAATAGAGCCATACATAGTAGAGACTGTGATTTAAAATAAGAGACCTCATAGTGTCATGCAGGGGGTGAGAGGTGTTGTCCATGATGGATGTCAGCTTGGCTAACATCCTCCCCTCACCCACCTCCTCTATGGAGTCCAGTGGACCGTCCAGAACTGAGCTCGCTCTCCTGATAAGCTTGTTGAGCCTCTTCCTGTCCGCTCCAGTATAAAAGATAGCAGAAGCTACCACAGAGTCATAAGAAGTCCTGAGAAGAGCCCTGCACACTCTGAAGGATCTCAGTCTCCTCAGCAGGTGGAGGCAACTCTGTCCCGTCTTTTTTTTTTTTTTATATATATATAAATTTTTGGGCTTTTTGTCTTTTATTTTAGAGCAGTAGAGATATACAGGAAAGTGGGGGAGAAGAAGAATGGGGAGAGACCAGCGAAGGGTCGTGAGCGGGAATCAAACCCACAACCGCTGCATCAGGTAACTACAGCTCCTGTTCATGGGTCACCTGCTCAACTAGGTGAGTTATAGGGGTGCTGGACTCTGGCCCTTCTTGTACAGGACGTGGGTGTTGTCTGTCCAGTCCAGCTTATTGTTTAGGTGAACAACCAGCAATTTATAGCTCTCCACTGCCTCAATGTTCAAACCCTGAATGTTCACTGGTGTGGCATGTGACGTCTTCCTCCTGAAGTCAATCGTCATCTAAAAGTAATCAGCAAAATGTACTTTACAATTTCCCTGAGGTTTAACAATTTCCCTGAGGTTTTACGCCAAAGGGATCAATAAAGTTTTATTCTATTCTATTCTATTCTATTCTATTTCAAGTAAAAGACTTCACGGTAAAATGACCAACAAATAGCACATGTGAGGCAGCATTACTGGTGTAGCTGGACCAAAGTGGAGTTTGGTTTATATACAGTTAATACTTTATCTTAGTTCAAGTAAGTGTGTAAAAGTTTCATTTGAATTTAAAGTAGCTTTAAATGTAAAAAATAAAATAAATAAATAATAATAATAATAATAATAATAATAATAATAATAATAAACTTACATGTAGTTAAAAAAATAACAACAGTATCCTACTTAAGTAAATTTATTACATTCCCCAGCAGAACTTTATTTTTGGGGGCATCCCTCAGTTAAACACTGTGCCATGTTTTAGTGTCCTACACTCTCTAATATATATATATATATACACACACACACACACACACACCAAAAATGAATCACCCTCAACACTGATCTAAAACGACAGAGGCCTGTTTATTATATTCATCCCGACAACCTGCAAATAAGAACAAGTCTCGGCTTCTATTGTTCACGTTGGAAGCAAACACAACAGCGCCATCTATTGGAACGCGGTGCTTTGTGCGGCGCGCTGTCTGCTTTGTGTTGAAGCGCTGCGTGATGTGTCAAGTCACCCACAGGAAGCAGCGGAAGTGTGACAAAGAAGCCTTCAAAATAAGCGCCTATTTTCCACAATAGAGGCTTTGCTCTGGGGTTGCTGTGTCATTTCAGCATATCCGTATGCCTTCCACTACGGCGAAGAGATAAGAGATTTTTTAGTGTCTTTCTTTCAGATTTTCTTTTGTATACAGTGCGGTGAATTTCAGTGATAAAAACTATTTTGAAAAGCCATTTATCGTGCAACCGCCGCATTTCGTGTGACTTGACAGATCTCGGAGACGCGACACTGTGCGAGTTTTGTGACAATTGATGAACCAAAACCGTCCACTGCTACAGCAGCTAAAGTGTGTGTGAGTCCACTCTGTGTGTGTGTGAGGCGTTAAGGTTCCGGTTTGGGTGCGAAATGCGTCACTGATGTAAAACTTCCGGCCCGGTGAGCGCAGCTATTCTCATCGTCCTTTTCTTGACTTCACTTTGGCCGGTGTGTGTGTTTTTTTTTTTTCTTCGTGAAACCACCCTCAGCCAATTTAAACATGCGAGTCTCGTGTAATTACAGCTTTAATGATCCCTGAAGTTTGAGCGCAAACTCGGAAGAAGCTGTTTTTGCAGGGGTTTTTTTTACAGCTGGGCTTGACGGGCGCACGACAGCTGCGAGAGCTCATCTCGTCTTCCCTCCAAATAACAACACACCCGGTAGCTGCCGTCCAAAACCCGTCGACCCCGGTGTGAAAGGTAAGGGGCAGGTTGTTGAGTTTCATCAGACACGCAGTGAGTGCACGCTGTATGTCAGTGGAGGAAGTTGTCACATGTTTGGACACGTCTTAAAGTCGTCTCCTAATGAACTTTAGACAAAATGTGTGCCTTTCTCTTTCTGTTTAGCCTCTTGTTAGTTTGTAAGTGTGTGTGTGCGCATGAGCAAGGGGAACTCTCCATTTCAACCCACTCCACTGTTACCTCATCCAGTGACAGCGCACCATGTGAGTTTAGTATGAGTCTGAGTGTGTTTATAAAGGCTTCCCAAGGAGATATTTTAGAACATTAACACCACTGTCACCCAGCTGATACTGCACAGATAGAGACAAGTGCATTTGAACTTGTATTTTTGACATCCACGGGGAAGCACTGCAGCATTTCTGGTCTTTGTCTCCACAGCAGCTGACCATGGATGTGGATCTAGATGGACTATTTCGTCAGAACACCTCATATGACTATGACATGGACTACGAGTATAAGGATGAATTTGACTCGAGCAACAAGGCGGTGTGGATGCCGGTTCTGTATACTTTGGTGCTGATTGTAGGCCTCCTGGGGAACGTACTGCTCCTGATCATTGTGGCTCAGAGGAGGCTGCCTTCATGGAGCGTGTCAGACTTCTTTGTTGTCCACCTGAGCGCTGCGGACATCCTGCTTCTGGTGACGCTTCCCTTCTGGTCGGCACAGGCTGCTCAAAATTGGGAATGGTGCTTTGGGATCTTCTGCAAGATCTGTGGAGCTGTTTTTAATGTAAGTACTGTAAGTATTGTTTAGAAGAGGTAGAGACTGAAAGTGAAAGTCAGATCTTTCCAGTGAAGCTATGAGAATGTTGTTTTTGGATGGATTGTGTTTGGCTGTAGGCCTCTGATTTCCTGCTTAATGAAAAGTCTTGGCAGATCAGGTTTGTTGAACTTGATACTGTTGTTGAGCAAATGTACTCCCCGCCCTCCCTATCTCCTCTAGGAATTTCAGAATTTCTGGGAAGAGGAAAGTGTAGGGGAGGGGTGAAGGTTAAGTGTTAAAGATGATAGATGACAGTTTTCTTTTTCCTTTTTTTCCTAGATCAACTTCTACTGTGGGATCTTTCTGCTGGTTTGCATCACTTTAGATCGCTACCTGTCCACCATCCATGCCATCAACTTGTACTCTCACAAGAAGCCCTGGTTGGTTCACATCAGCTGCCTGTTGGTCTGGCTTGTTTCCCTTCTCCTCACCATCCCTGACTGGATTTTCCTGGTGACTGAGAGAGATTTAGCAACAGGTAGAAAATGGTGTGCGTACAGATACTCTGAATCTGTAACTGACTGGAAGTTGTTGTCACGCTTGCTCCACCACATGGTGGGCTTTGGCCTACCTGCAGGCGCCCTGATCTTCTGCTGGTCCTGTATCTTACTTCAGAGAAGCTCTAAAGGCCAAACGCAGAGATCCATCATGGTCATCCTGCCTCTGATGTTGGTATTCTTTCTCTGCTGGATGCCGTACAACATCACACTCATTGTGGACACTTCCAGGAGACGCTCTAAGGAATCTCACAATGTTTTATCTGGAAACCCTGAAGGTTCTTTGAAAACAGCTCTTGCGGCCACCTCTGCTCTGGGCTGCATTCACGCCTGCCTCAGGCCTCTGCTATATCTTGGCCTGTGTAGTAACTTCAGGAAACGGTTACTCGCCATGTTGACATTTGCTCAAGTTGAATCCAGCAATTCATTGTGGGAGCTTAATGTGGGCGAGGAAGCCCTGCCTGACCAAAGTCATGAGGGGGAAGAGCTAAAACAGATGACAAGTGAAGAGCATCAGGTGCAGACAGTTCAGTGCAGATGACTGGACAGAAATGTCATGCTGTGACTCAGAAGTGATCTGAATAATGATCCACCCCTGAGGGGAAATGTGTGTGAACTCATGCCAGTGGTTCAGAGGGTGGAGGACTACATTGTATGTTGCTATGTAATAATAGATATTTATAAGAAGGAAAAAAAAAAGACTCTGTCACATTCCGCTTTTTAATGTGAAGGTCTCAGAGCCACATCATGGTGTCATGTATTGTTATACTTTTGTTTTGTGATCACTTCTGCACAGTTTAAGCTTGATCACCTGAAGTCATGAACTGAACATATCCATCCATCCATTATCTATACACAACTTAATCCTCACCAGGGTCGCGGGGGGCTGGAGCCTAACTGAACATATCTGTATTTTCGTTGTGTAATGTTATCCTTTTAAATGAAAGCAATCTGTTTTACATTATGACCGGCCGTTACACTTCCCTTTTAACTTAGCTGCCTTGTACCTATCAGTACTTTTTCTTAGTAAACATGGTGAATTCCACAATTGCACAGTGTGTGTGTGTGTGTGTGCATGTCAGTGTATGATTACAATGCAGTTAGGGAATTTCCCTTTGGCATATCCCATAGCTTTTGTCCTTTTTGACTTCACTGTTGCAACATTAGTGTGAGGGCTGTAGGGAAACTGGATGACACAAACCGGTGATGATGTCACCAGTCAGGTGACAGATGTAGACAGAGGAGGAGGAGGAGGAGGAAGAAAAAAAGCTCTGTTGTTGCTGCAGCCCTTTTTGTAGCTCTCTGTTAAACCCTCATCAAAGAGCTTGGCTGTTTGGTGGAGAGAAAAACAGCACGTCTCCTTCAGTTAACTGGGAAATTGAGTAGGTGACAAAAGCAGGAAAGTTAAAGCAGATAAACATCTCAATGTGACGAACAACAGAATCTGTGGTTTTTAATGCTGCAAGCTGTGACCTGCCAGGCAAGCTTGATAGCTGGGCTCAAGGCATAATAATAATATTTAACCCGTGCAAATGTGACCACAAGTAGAGAGTACTGACATAGCTGGGTGCTCTTTTGGAAGCTTAGTATATAGTATTTTTACACTTAGAAACAAACTGTTTCCTCCTCTCAGCCCAGCTATTTCTCTTCCTCTTACAGCTATAAGATGGATTTATTTAGAGTTCAAGTGTCATTCGGAAAGTTGCCTAATCTGGGAAATGCCGGTTGACTGTAACAGCAGAATTCCATCATGTTTAGCACATTATGGGGTCATGGTTACTCTGGAGCATCACATTAACTTGAAGCATGATTTCCTGCTTCAGCTCAAGCTTATCTGTCAAAGACAAACAGCTGGTCATGTTTCTTTAATGAGTAACAAATACGTTATCAGCACAAACTAAACCTTTGGGAAATGGTATGGATTCTTTTAAAAAGTAAAGTAGAGTACTTTATTATTGTCAGAAAAAAAGCATGTATCATCATGACTACATGGTTAAAAACAAGAGAAGTTCATGTTGCCACATCATGCTTGATGTGCTTGAATGGGTTTGCAGCCAAGCTCTTCAATCCACTGCATTCTGTGCTGCTTCAGGGCTGAAATGTTTATAGTTTAGACACGCTGGTTGTTGCCAGGCTGATCCTGTACAGAGCAGCTACCATCCTGCTGTTAGCAAATGTTTGTCCATTGCTCAGCCTGGCATGTAAATCATGTGAGGCAGAGCGGTGGAGGCGCAGTGTGGTTTTACATGCATATTATTTGATCTGGAGAAACCTGTCTTAAGTCACATTATTTCTCTGTGTTCTTTTTTTTTTTTTGCTGTCACTTTTCTGCTTAAATCATCAGACTGAGGATGTGTCTGCTTCTTGTCTCTTCACTCAATTTCCTGTCAAAAAGATGCTATCTATTTCCACAGAAACTGCTACCTGTAGGTTTCCTTTTTTGTGTAAATCTAGCTTGTATTCTGCAATCGTCATAATGAAACCGTTCCGTACATGTTCAGGGTATATATTACATATGAAGACGTAATCGTATGTATCTAAATGTTTCACATGCACAATTTATTCCATCATGTACATAGCACTTTCAGAACTATGATCTTACCTTTACAGTGTGCAGAAATGTAGCTTTTGATCGTAAAGATTGCAATTCAGAAAACCTATGGTAATGACATTCACGGTGCATTTTGAATAAGAAACACAGAACACAAGGAGGAGATAACTTGCACCCACTTGCCTGGCTCTTTGTCCACAACAGGAATCAACATACAGTTATAGGTCTTATAGATCATTAAAAGTTGGAAGGTGGTTGAGGAGCAATAAGTAGAGCAAGAGCAGGAACATTCTCATTACAGTACCTGTAGATTATTAATTCTGTGGGCCAGTCTTTTGAACCAGCCAGCAACTAAACTCAACTGAGAAATGATAGTTTAATGTTATTCTTTGCTAATTTTCAACCTGCTCTAAATGTGTGTTTCATACAAGCAGTGATACAATTTTCACGTCATGAGGTAAAGAGTCGAGGATTGAACCCCTCTGAGGCTGGAAATGCACTCCTATGTACACTTCCATCAACCTCTGAATAGAGCAGAGGAGAACGCTATGGAGTCCCTCGGGCAGCTAAAAATGTATTTTCAGCCCTTCATTAGATCTTGGCATGAGCTGATCCTAATGTTCTTCTTATGTTGAGCAAAAGAACATTTCAATCTGAGTGGACGATAAAAGTATCATCTATTCTGTTCTGTACTTGCAAAAATGCCTGGTTGTTATTTATATTTGGTTTTTACATTTAACCATTTTTACGATTGCGTGTAAAAAAAAATCAAAAATGGACTGTGAGTGGTGAACCAGAATTTTGAAAGATGTGGTCAGTGAATGTGTTTCTGTTTTAAAGAAATGGCAGCTCTCAAGTTCAGCTCACAGTGACTTCCGCTTTGCTGACTGTGAGAAGAGTTTCGAAGAAGTGAACTGTTGAGAAATCCATCAGCGACTGTAAAAACATTGTGCAACACTGTAATGGCCGTATCCACAAACACACACGTTAATGATGGTAATATTCATCCAATCTAACCACAGTCAACGTACACGGTCTCACATCCTTACCAAAGTTTTACTGTCTTATCTTATTCTTACATAAAACCCAATTGTGGTTTGATCGGGTTCCAATGTGTTAATTGGTACGCTTTAACACATCACTGTATTCTAAATGAGGCAGTTTGTTGACAATGTTCTGTCACCATGACTCTGGCTAAGTGGCAGAATTTAATTTGTATTTGAGTTACCGTATCTGCTGCGTCAGGCTTCATCTATGGTTTAACCAAAGTACATGGCTAAGTGTAGATCCTGTTAAAATTAGAGAGGCCCAAGAAGCGCTCGACCATGAGCTGTGACGGCGTTGAGGTCGAGGCGGTGGTGGCTTCTTTGTATTGAGCTTTGGTTGTTGCCTATGTGGTTTTCTTCTTCTTTCTTTTATTAGTAATAGCATTATCAGCCTGTATATACGTTTGGCTCATGTCTCATTTCGTTAGGCCAGATAACTACCATCTTGTTTTGTAGAGTTCTGTTGGCTGAACTCTTAAAAGGGCCCATCTAGTGACAAAACTACTGTTTTCATGCATTTGAATTGTGGCATGTTTAAGGCGGTAAAATAAAAACCCAGTTGTGAAAAGTCAACCTGTGCCTCAGAAGTGCCAATGAGTCATATGTGTATAATAATAGTAATAGTTGTTGTTGTTGTTGTCTCCTTAAGGGCCCGCAATCCTGGGTGTGTCCATGTCTCATTACATTTCTTCAAAAGCAGCCTGTAAGTCTACAGAGTAGTCTACAGGCTTCTATTAGAAACTAAGATCTGGATATCAGCATTTTTGATCAAAAGAATGTATCAAGTTTTGGATGTTTTAATTATCCTAAGTTTTGATAGATGTTCCCAAAGCTCTTCAGAAGCATTAACATTAGGTGAGTATTGTTTTGAAGTCCACCAAGCCATCACCGAGAAATATATTCAACAAGACTTGAGTTACTAAAATTACGTACATTCAGGGGTTTCTCGCATTTTGTGGCGTTCAGGACAAGTTAAAAAGTAATCATCTGAAGTTCCTTTGTCTGTTGATGTACCCTAATGTTGAAGTCACGCTGTTGTATGGTAAAAAAAAATAAATAAAAAATTGTAAAAAATTTATTCTGCATTTGAACATTCCACACAAAAAACAGTATAATATACAATATAACTGTGGTATAAAAAGATACACATGTTTTAAAAGGTTAAATGTAACATAGTAGCTTGAAAAACGACTACATCAGTAAGAAAACTACAGTCTGACATGTAGTCCTGGCTTTTATGTCATAAAGCTGCCTGGAAATAAGAAAAGATAAACATTATATTTCTGCTATACAAGAAAAAACTGCTGCCGAAAAGTGCAAATGTGAGTACCTGACAGACAAACAACTTGTTCTATTTTCAAGCTCATGTTCAGCTACTGATCCCTTATGAACTAGTAAAGACTAAAAGAAAACGTAGCCTGTTTCAGGCTTTCCAATACAGGAACTTTACAGAAGTATTTTGTATGTTATTGTGTCGGCCTTCATGTCAGTTTAAGTCAGTTTTTAAATTTGTTCAGATTTGCTTGTATATTTATGTCTCTCTCAGATAGCAATGGAGTTGGAGGTGTCGGCAGACTCAGACCAGATGGAGCTTCTCCTGCTGTTGACATTAGATTGAAATTTGGCGCTTGTCTTCAGCTTGCAGCCCAGGGACCTCAGAATGTCTATGAGCTGACGCCGGAACTTTACACCCACAAAGGCGTACAGGATGGGATTGAGGCTGCAGTGCAGGTAGCCCACAGAGGAGGTCACTGTTTTAGCCGTCTCCAGAGATGATCTGATTTCACAGGTCTCGCTGCTATTGTCGGAATGGAACGTATCCACCATTAATGTGATGTTGTATGGCGTCCAGCAGATAAAGAAAACCACCACCACAGTGATAATGACCCTAAAAGCTTTCTGCTTTTGAAGGCCCTGTGTGCCACAGCGCAGCCGATGCAGGATGCAGGAGTAGCAGAAGATCAGGACAGCTGAAGGAAGCAGAAAGCCCACTATGTGGTAAAGCAGGCGGGATGCCAGCCGCCAGACAGGAACGGACAGTGGGTCAAACTTGAAATAGTTGCGAATGCATTCGGTTTTGCCTCGTCTGGAATCCTCCACGGCTTCCAAAAAGATCCAGTCAAGGGTAGCGAGGAGCAGGGAGACGAGCCACACCGTGAAGCAACTGGCCTGAACAACCCAGGGCTTCCTGCGGGAGTACATGTGGGTGGCATGGACTATTGACAGGTAGCGGTCCAAACTGATGCAGGCCAGGAGAAAGATCCCACAGTAGAAGTTGATCTGAAGTAAACAAGAAATTAAACCAAAGCCAAGTGAGAAACTACTTGCAAAACTTTAGGTAATTTCAGAGCATCATTTCTTTTGCACAATTCTTACCGTAAAAACAGATCCAGTGATCTTGCAGAGGGCAGTTCCAAATGTCCATCCTTTGACTTCAACATACTGTGTTGCCCAGAAGGGCAGCGTCACCAGCATCAGGATGTCTGCAACAGCTAGATGGAGGATGAAGGTGTCCGTCGCACTCCAGGTCTTTCTGCTTCGAAGCAGTACTCCCAGCAGCACTCCATTCCCCAGGATGCCCACAACAAACACCAGCCAGTACAGAACTGGTATGAACACCGACTGAAATGCCACACCTTCATTCAGGTTACAAACATCCCCCCCCTCGCAGCAGTCATAGTCTAGTCCGGTGTCGTTGTCATATTGCAAGTCATCCAACGCCAACATCCATGGATTTGTGTCACCATCCATCATCTATAAATTTTGCACAAACAGAAGATTTCTTCAGCCACATGGTGGTGCTGTTTGTCCATTTATCTATCTACTGTCTTCTCCAAATTTATTTAGACCCTTCCATTAAAGAAAAGGCAAAATTCACAATAGTCATTCAAATAAGGACAAACAAAAAAAAAAAGCAATAATAAATAAAAAATCACTTAATTATAATTTAGTGAAATAAGCATTGCTTTTGCATTGTGGTTGAAAGGAATAATGTAATAAGATAAGATAAGATAAGATATGCCTTTATTTATCTCACAGTGGAGAAATTCACATCGTTGATAGCTGCTTTCGACAGAGTTACACTTACACGAGACAGGAAAAAACAAAAAATAAAAAATGTACATATAAATATAAGAAATAGTGCAAACAAGGTGAGTAGTGCAATGTAATGTAATGGACATCATGTAATACAGTCTTGGATTGTGTTTTTTTTTGTTTGTTTGTTTGTTTTGTTTATTTAGTTATTTAGCTCTTTAAGAAGAAAAAGAGGAAAATTGTCTTTTCTTGTAATATTTTCCATGCACGTGCAGGATGAAATACCACCACTCCTGGCTATGCTGACTGTGATGTAGCAACAGAAGCTTTGTATAGTTTGTGGTGTTGTGTTTATTTAACTGGATGACTTAGTCATACAGATTCAGTCACAAACAGATGATGTACCTTTTTTTTTTTCGTGCGAGCAGATGGTGAAGAGAAATGTATAAATTCACCATTTACATGTTAGGAATCTGGAGGCACAAAATAGGATTCCCAATTATTAAGAATAATAATCCTTAGTATCTGTAAGTTAATATTGGAAAATAAAGATAATTCAAGGTACATGGTTCAGAAAGTCTACTTTAGGACAGCATTGACTGCAGCCTCATTGTTGTCTCATTGTGTGTGACAACAGACAACAAAATGAGTGAACAAAGTATATATTATAACAACCATGTTGCATGAAAATTAAATTTATGTTCATTTATAATATATTCATAGAATTTATACACAATGCATACACACAACAAGTGTACAGAGATGGGTAAAATCTGGAGGAATGAAATGTGAGCTTACCAAACTGTAGTCCTCTGATGTTGTAGAACTCAGCAGAAATGAGCTCTACCATCTAGCGGGTGAACACAAAAGCAACTACAGCTACCAAGGAGGAAGAGTCTCTCGTGCATGCAGACCTCATCTGCACCGACAATATAGATGTGTGAAAAATTTGCATCATAACCCTGAACAGAATTTGAATTTTTTTATGAATAAAGAAGGAAACTGTCACTACTGTCATGCAAAATTACTTTTTGATTTTTCTTTTTTGTTTGTTTCTTCCTTTAAAAAAAAAACAGCTTAAAAATAAAGTTAAATTGATGTGGAAGAGTTAAAAAATGCAGTAGTTTGACCTTTTACGTCCTAGACCTAGAACTAAAAAAGACAAAAACTGAAAACTGGGGCTTTTTCTATGCCAACATGAGACTCAGCCCATTAAGCAGAATGAGACAGCAGACATGGCAGCTAAAGGGGAATAGAAAACAGACATTGCCCTTAATGTAAGAATTGGAATATCTGAATGTAGATCTATCATTGAAGAAAACATAATAGCTGTGTGTCACAGTGTTAGTAATAGGAGATACAATGAGACACTTCATTATGACAAGACAATGAAACTGTATCTAACACTTTCAGTTAACTTTTTGCTTCCAGCACGGTGTAAATGGGTCACCGGTTGTCCGTCTTTGGGCCAACTTTGGTGGTTGCTAACTACTGCACACTCCACAAGACTTGTTGTATCGGAGATGTTCTGACCCAGTTGTCTAGCTGGCTTTTGTCAGGGTGGTTCATGTCCGTATGCCATATTGCCTGTTTTTCTTGCTTTCAGCACTTCAGTTTTAAGAGCTAACTGTTTATTTGCTGTCTGGTATATCCCACCCTTTAATAGGTTTTGCTTTCACAACCTGTCAATGGTTTAATGGCTTGTCTGTAAATTCCTATAAAACTGTAAATAGCTGTTTTAAATAACCTAAGCTCTTTGCTTGTCTCCTATCTAATGTTATTAAAGAAGATTTACACCAATGTAAAGATCTAAAAGTGCTAAAACATGTAAGATCTTGTTAGCATATATATGCTATGTGAGTATGCTGATACACTCAAGAAACTGCCTGATGACTAATACCGCCCTGAATTTAGATGTACTGAATCTGAAACCACCCCGCAGTTTCATTTGGCTTGAAAAATATGTTTCAAAATCGGTTGGTATTTAAAAGAAATACATTGTTCTGACTTTATAGAAAATGCTGTGTGCAATTATGTTGTCACAGTATATTCACTGGCCTGGCAGTGATACTGACAACCTCAGAAAGACATCTGCATTTATTCCAGTCCCTCAACATCAGCATAAATATGTTTAATTTTACAGTTTATGAGAGATTTTGGACTATTTTTACCTTTGTTTTAAGATATGCATCTACGAATCACATTAGGGCGGCTGCAGCTTAGGTGGTAGAGCCGGTTGTCCTCTGATTGTAAGGTTGGCAGTTTGATCCCCCGCCCCTCCACAGTCGAAGTGTCCTTGGGCAAGACACTGAACGTGAAGTTGCTCCCAATGGCAGGCAGCACCTTGCATGGCAGCTCTGTCGCGAATGGGTGAATGAGAAAACATAGTAAAGCGCTTTGGTAGAAAAGCACTATAGAAGTGCAGTCCATTTACCATTAAACAATGTGAATGTCCAATTAACGTGCAAATCATGCTGGTCAAAGAAACAAAAACAGAGTATTAAAAAAGTACATTGTGAAAACAGAACTAATAACAATGAGTGTGTAGGAGGGGTGTCTGGGTCCTGGTGGGCCCAGATTACTGTCATTGTATGTGGCTGTGTACGTGTGTCACACATAGTGAAACTGCATTATCTTTGTCAGGATTGTTGGTTGATTGTACAGTTGAGTTGAGTCATTGACGCGTTGCAGCCAACAGTTCAGGTCATGAATTACTGCCCTTGATCAAGGTGTTGTGGTGTCTGATGGCTGTGGGGACAAATGATCTCCTGAACTGTTCAGTCCTGCAGCAAAGTGAGATGTGATTCATTGTAGCTGCTCCTCTGTCCAGCCAGGATGCTGTGAAGACGGCGGCTGGCATTGTAACGGACTGACTGCACTTTATTGTGTGTATTGTGTCTCAACCACAGTCCTCAGTGGGTCCAAGCTCCTGCCAAGCACAGAACCAGTCTTCTTTACCAGCTTGTCTAGCCACGTAGTGTTCCTCTCAGTCACAGTGCCGCCCCAACAGACCACAGCATAGAAAAAAACACAGGCTACCACTGACTGGTACAACATATGCAGCGTTTTACTGCAGGCATCTGTGTTTGTGAACCAGTCCAGGTTGTTGTCAAAGGTGCAAACTTAAGTGTTGCACTACTGCAATTTACCCCCCCTGGGATGTTGACAAGGCTGAAGCAGGTGTAAACACCCGCTTCCTGTACTGACCTTCTTGTACATTCTTGATACATGCTACAATAGCTGTATCATCAGAAAATGTGGCAGGACTCAGACCTGTACTTAAAGTCTGCGGTGTACAGAGTGAACAGGAATGGAGCCAGAACAGTTTCTTGATGAGCCCCAGTGTTGCCCACCACTGTCCCAGAGACAGTTTCCAGTCTGATGAACTGTGGTCAACCTGCAAAATAGTCCGTAATCAAGGAAGTGAAGCAGGAATCAACCCCCAACGCTTCGAGCTTGTTTCGAAGTACGAGGGGTTGGATTGTGTTGAAACCACTGGAGAAGTTGAAGCACATGATTCTCACATATCCACCCGGTTCATTCTAGTGAGAACAGACTCGGTGGATCTTGCAGAGTCCTGCATCGTCCATTCCAACATTCTCCCGGTACTGCAGGGAGTCCAGTGAATGTGCAGCCTGTGGTCTCAGAAAACGGCACAGACGCTCCAGTGTCTTCATGAGGTGTGAAGTGAGGGCCACCGGATGGTACTTTTTTCTCTGGACCGGGAGCCCTACTTTGGACACTGACACAAGACAAGATCGTTTTCCACAGAAGAGGAACCCTACCAGTCTGTAGACTCAGGTTGAAGATCCTCTGGAGCGGTTCAGCCAGCACAGTCCTGAAGCAGCCTCGAACACAAACCATCCGGACTTGCTGCTTGTCCAGCTTCTTGAACTCTGCAGTCACTTTCTCTGTTGTGACGGACAGTGACGAGGACAGCGCGAGGGGAGGAGCTGTAATGTGGGCGAAGGGATGGGAGGGACGAGATGATAGAGGGAGATATAGAGACTGACCATCATCATGCAATCTGACCATATTTGCTGCAGTGAACGATCTCTGCTCTTTTCTTTCAGCTTCTACAATGTGCAATACAATACAAACTATTCATTTAAGTGTATGCTCACACATGCTCACATGGCGTATGGCATTCTACAGATGGGGTGAAGCCTTTAATTACATTTCTATTTGGCACATTTAGATTAGAATAAAATGATAACTTTAAGGTCACACAAACCACAAATGGAACATACAACACCCAAAATGACACGTGTTCAAAGAGTACATCTGCTTAACTTAGAAGTTGGCCTAGCAACACAATTTAAAGTCAACATAACACGTGAGCAACGGATAAACAGACAGCTGATTATGAGTGACATATCTGTTAATAATAACTGTTCCCTTCACAGCCCTTCATTATCTTACCTTTCAGTGAGATTAATATAAAGATAAGACTGAAAAATGTGAATGAACGTTTCCATCTCAGTTAATCGGCTTATCGTCAAAACCCCTCTGATACTATTTATACATCGTTTATCAGTGTTAAATCTCTCCTTCATTTTCACAATCAGCCATTTCGTAGAAGCAGTCATCCTCTGCAAAACCTCAAGATATTTGTCACACCTTTCTTGTTCTCGGTATGTCTATGCAGCCCCAACACCATGCAAGCATGACACCTGTAAGAGCAGATTTCATTTGTCTGTTTCCCCTTCGCCCATCTCCTGTGTGAAACGCTTAGATACTGTTCCTG